TTGTGATTTGAGCATGGCCTGCTCATCAATCCTTTTTGACAGATCTTCAGAATTTTCTGCTATGTGGGCGAAGCTCTCATGTCTAACGAAAGAGCTTGGTGATTGAGACTCTGTGATGGCTGAACGTTTGTCATTGGAATTGGTTTCTCTGGCTAACCTCTAATAGTTGACAGGGGGAATGACTCATGTTCGCATCCGAATGCGTTGATAGATTCATTCAAACTCGTTAGCGATTTCTCTTACGCTTGGAGAACGATCTGTTTCTGACCCATCAGAACTAGGGACTGATGACTCCCTCTACCGATCACATTGATAATGACTTCAGGATACTCGGTATCTGAATACTTCTTGTAATGACGTCGTCGTTTGCTTGGTCGAGCAACGCTCGTCAATTGGTCAAACACTGATCGCCTAGGCACATAAGCACAACATTGACATTCTGAGAGGACCACAGAAATAAGCCGCTCACATTGACATGAATAAGTGGCTTGTTGCGTCAGTCTTTCTCTTGATAAAAGTTCTCTTAAGTCGGAGATTTGGGAAGCATTTATCACTGAACGTGAGGTTAAAGCTGGAACCCCCTGTCCATCAGTAGACAGGACTGGTTCTTAACGAACATGGATTTTAAATCCATGTTGGTCTTTTCTGACACGACGAATCACATCGTGTCCTGAAGAAGGAACATGAGGCTCGTGTTTAGTTTGAGTAACGCAGGACTGAGGTCTGCGTTTTGCTAATGAAACGCGCCCTCAAGGGTTGCGTTCTGGTGGATCCATACAGTCTAGAGACTTGCGTTTGGATTCTGGAACGTTCTCCTGAGAACTACGTTCAGGCTGATTAACACGGTCTGGAGACCTGCGTTTTGGTTCTGGAACGCACTCTTGAGAGTTACGTTTTGTTTGGAAAACACATCCCAGAGCACTACGTTTTGGTGTTGGAACGCGTCCCTGGGGACTACGTTTTGATTTTAGAACGTTCCCTTGAGGGTTGCATTTTAGTTGGATCACGCGAGGCTCGTATTTGGGCTCATCAACGTAAAGCTTGCGTTCTGGAGCAGAAATGCAGAGCTCTTGCTAAGGCTCACAAACGCATGGCTCGCGTTGATTGGAGGATCGACTTTCTTGGAATTGTGCTCGTCGTCGGAATCTCCTCATTCGTCGAGCTGCATTCTTCTTAACCTGTTTTAAGGCTTTTGTAGTGTTGTTATCTATGTTGATCTAGTTTGTCACCGCAATGAGTCTTGTGACCCGATATCCGTCGTTTTGGTGCGGGTGTAGAACCTTCAACTCGATTGACGAGTTTGGTTGCGGCTGAGCCTACTCCTTTAAAGGAGAGGTTGTCCGAGAGATCTGGTCCAAAGGAGAGGCCTTCTTTTGGTGGTTCGGCAACGATTGGAATTTTAGTCTCTTTGGAGACTTTGCGGATCTTGCAAATAGCCTTGGGGCTAAGGGATCCGGAGGAGAGTATCTCCTCATAGTTGGCTTGATCAAACTCCACAACAAGAGTTTCAACCGTGGTTCCAATGAGGTTAACGTCGGATTGCGCTATCACTTCTTCGTTAGTGAAGCTTGTCCCTAGCAGAGTCACCATCTTTTGTTTGTAAGGAAAATTGAAAGAAAAAAATAGAGAATTGAATTTGTGTTATTCTCTCTAACTGACTTAGAAAAAAATGGGTTATAATTTTCTCAATGCAATCTCTTTCTAACAACTTAGAAAAAAAAATTACAATCTTCTTGTATCGGATTCCCGATTTACAAAAGAGAGAAAGATCGATGGAGATCATTCCCTTTGTTTAACCTGGGCTCTTCTTAGTGTCGATGAAATTCCTCCCTCAAATACTCACGTCGAGTTTACTTTCCGTTGACGATTCAAAAGTTTCACCTCGTTAGAACACGGTCTTCGCCTCTTTACTCGAAGTCTTGGACGAACTTGCGTGACAAGTTTGAAACTCTTAACGAGTTTGAGAACTCAGAACGAGTTTTGAAAGAACTCTTTGAAAGAGTTAATTGATTTAACCGAAATTGGTTTATAAGCCAAGGTTGATGAAAGCTCAAAGAACCACTCCGAGGGTCTGAAGATTGCCGAGATCCTTCTTCTTCCAATAAGCCTTGTGCCGATCTTAATTTTCTAGAAATTCCTGTCCAAAGGACTCCCCTTAATTAAGCTAAAATTTTAGCTATTTATAGAAGATTAAGGGGTGTAACCGTCCCTTTAATCCGCTCCTAAGTGAGGCAGAAATCCCTCAAATCGTGGGGAGAAAATGGTTTCTGGAACCGTTCAACTCGTGTTTGAACGAGTCAAACGCATGTCCTGTGTTGCTAGGCACGAATTTTGCGTTCGAATGCAGCGTCTGGAAGCTGCGTCTGTGGCGTCTGGAAGCTGCGTCTGCGGCGTCTGGAAGCTACGTCTGCGGCGTTTGGAAGCTGCGTTAGTAGCTAGATTTGAGTTGCGTTTGCAGCTGGGTTTGAGTTGCGTTTGCGGCTGGGTTTGAGCTGCGTTTGCAGCTAGATTACGCAGTGGTTGCGTCGTTTTGACTCTTGAATGCAGAGGCAAGCCTCATGCTTGGCGAGCTTCAGGCGAAGTCCAATGTTCAGGCGAAGTCCAGTCTTGCAGACGGACTTCAGAACATAACTTGTTACGAAGAACATGTCATAACTTTCAAACCGTAAGTCGAAATTGGACGAATTATATATGAAAATCGACTCTCGACGAGACGGAGCCGATCAAAGCTGAGCAAACTAACCCTAAGGGTTTGAGTTCGGTTTGCTCCCATCCGTTTCGCTAAATTCCTTACGGTTTGAGAGATATCTGCGTTTTGATTTGAAAAGACCGTCAATTTGTAGTCTCTTTTGCTAGAACATTACAAAGATCATCATCTTGTAACATTCATCTTGGCTCTTGAAAATATGAGAGTCATCAGATTGTAACTCCCGACATTGATTGTGAATGTTGTTGAATTAAAATTTTCATCGGTTGTTGTGAAAGTTTTTAAATTGTAGCCTTCTGGAAGTCATCAAATTATAATTTTCGTCATCGGTGTTTGATGGGGATCAGCTATCTACAATAATTTTTAAGCAGCCTACATCTCTCCTTAGGCTTATACAGTCAAGCCGCTCTTCTTGGAATTGATCCCGATCTCTCCCAACCATTCCTCTAAGTGTCCTTGTGTATTACAACGTGTTTCCACAATTAGTGGAAATTAAGATTTGTTCTCTAACAAAGACGAGAATGAAATTTAAGCTCACTCAAGATACACTCTTAACCTAAGTATACTATATGTGAAATACTTAAGCTCAAGTAGTTGTGTGTGTAAACAATGAGTAAATGAAATTAAACTCAATTTAAACTAGCTTATATATGATAATCAAAATATAAAATTAGCTAGAAAATGAGTTTAGAAGAACTTCTCTAAACAAAGAGATGTAGAAGAATAAATTTGAGGTTGAACTCAAATCTGAAATTGAATTCATTCTCTTTGTTAAACTTTCTTCACATAAACAAACACACCAAAACTTAGAAATAAACTAGTGTAAACCCTCTTTAAACTCTTGTAAAACTCTTGTGAAAGAACTAAGGGTTGAGGACTATTTATAGCCTCAAAAATAAAGCTCAACAAAAACTAGCCGTTACAGAAAAATAGTCGTTCGGTCGACTGATGAGAAAAAGCAGTTGACTGATAACACTTCATCGATCAACTGATATAAGTAATCAGTCAACTGATGAGACTGAAAAACTCAGGTTGAAAAATGTACTGGTCGGTCAACTTATAAAAAAATCGGTCGACTTATACGTACTGGTCGGTCGACTTATGGAAAAAATCGGTCGACTTATGCACTATTCACATAAACCTGGATTTTGAAAAACTGATTTTCTAAATTCAAATTAAAATAGAAAATCAACTCTAAAAATAGTAAAACTTTAAAAAATATTTATACACATGAAGATAAACATGTTAGAGAAGAAATTTCTGAAATATCACTTCGCATTTGTGAAAACTCTCTAACCAAAAAATAGATATTCCAGTTTCTGAAATTTCTTGAAGAGTTGATTTTGTAAATTTGATTTAAAATAGTAAATCAACTCCAAAAATAATAAAACATGGGGAAATGTTTATATATCTGAAAATAAATATATTAGAAAAGGAATTTCTAAAATATCATTTTCCAAGAGTGAAAACTCACTGGTTTGCAAAACGGTCAAAAATGCGAGTTTGTTAAATACTTGATTTTGATGAAATTTCTTCAAATAAGTTTGAGATACCTTTCAATAGATTATTAGACTTAAGGAAAGATATAAAATAGTCGTTAAGTCTATAATCCGAAAACGGCGATAAATCTAAACAAATGTGTGTGTGGTTTGAGCTTTTAAGCATAACACATAAAGTAAACACCTAAAGTAAAATACCCAAGCTAAATGATCTCGTGGCGCTTGATCTTGGACGATCATCCTCTTCGTAGTATGGATAAAGCAATAATGTGGTTGACTTGAATTGTGACGGCTTCATTCCGATTTCCTTTCATCCTCCAATGGTTATGATCATGTAAGTGCAAGTCCAACCAACCTCCAATGGAGAATCTTTGTGTAGGATACTTAATAATCAAATGCAAACACTCGACAAACGATGTTAGGAATTGTTTGTTAATCTCAAAATCAGATTAGATGGTAGACTCATAAACATGAGACCTAACACTGCCTAGAGAAATAGAAGAAAAGGGAGAAGAGGGAGAAGCATAATGGGAGGGAAGAAGAAGGATTAGAAGAAGAAGCAAATTAGTTAAGTTTCTAGATCATGATGCCACTCTGTTTCAAGTCGATTGTGGCGATGTTGTCATACCAGCTGGAAGATGATCATATATACAATCAAACAACAAAGAGTGTGTCATCTCCGCATTTATTTCAAAACAAATAGTTGTAACTACAATTGGAACTATCTTTTTGCAAATTACAACTATTACTGAAATTATTATTTTTCATGATATTTTAGCTACTGCTGTTTTCAGGGGAGATTTTGGGAGGTTGGGGCATGGAAATTCAAGTGATCTGTTTATGCCACAGCCTATCAAAGCATTGCAAGGGATTATGATCAAGCAGATTGCTTGTGGAGATAGTCACTGTTTGGCTGTAACTATGAATGGGGAGGTGCGGAGGTGAGTGCCTATTTTAGTAGAGTTTGATATTTCAATTATCTTCGAGTTGTGTCACTTTTCCTTGATAAATTCAGAATATTCTATATTTTGCATTATAAGTAGTTGGATTTCCTCTTTTTCCCATCTTATTTGTATATTGTTATTCTGTAGCAAATTATTCTGGACAACAAGATCACTCACGTAATAGCACCTTACATCAACGTTATTGGTTACAAAGTGAAATTTTGGTTTCAAAGTACATGCTTGGAAACTCCTCAAAAAGAGACTAGGATTGATCCTAATCCCATTTTGGTTAAAAGGTGTTTGGAAAAAACTAGGCCAATATTAGCCGGATTTCCTGGCCAAAAAGTGGCCTTTTAATTGGTTCTTTTTTTGGACCAGCACCCTTTGGTTTAAAGTTGGTCCGGTTTAGAGTAAAACTACTTGGTCTGGTTTAGAGTAAAACTAGATATCCTAGCCCAATTTGTAAGGGTTGCCAAATACACCATTAGGTAATGGTACACTTATTTAAAGCCTGTTCGAGGGTCTTAAAGTCCTTAGCCATTACACCGAAATTTTGAAGTTGTAGTGAGGGTTGTGGGTTATATTTTAACATATCCCTGTAGGTTGAGAGCCCTTTTTGCAGGTCGAAATATGGACTCACGCAGTAGTGTCAATTTTTGGAATATTCACTTTAAATTCATGGCCGTTGGGATTTGAACCTAGGTTGCTCTAATACCATCTTTAAATCCCTCTTAACCATTATCCTAAAACTCCGAAGTTGTGGTGAGGGCTGAGGGTTACATTTTTATCTTCTAATAGAGGGTTCCTAGGTTCGATATTTTATCCTTATTGGTATCGGTATAAGTTATCCTTCCATCATCAGCTTTCCATATTGAAAACAAACTAATGTGAATGTTCTTTTTAGTTTTAGATAACCTGCACATATTGCTCTTTTTTCTCTGATCTAACTTGCATGTAATAAAAAAAAAATTCTGAAAGTGGGGCTTGTGCCTTCTCTCTTCTCTCTCCATCACTTTCATTTCTATTTGTGTGATAAAAAAATGAAGATGTATGGTAAACTACCAAGATTCGATGAAAAGTGAAAAATAATGACACATTTACAAACTAAGTTGCCCCTAAAGTACCTGGGGTTTAAATCACAGTCATTTTGAAATCATCACCTTAACAATATCCCCTGAAGTTGCATCAGCATTTTTGGCGTTTTCATGCGTCTTCTTATCTTTATTAAGAGGAACTTGAGGAGGGTGTAAGGGATGTGAATTTGTGTCTTGAAAGTTGAAACATGCCTTTATCATTACTAAAGGAACTATCTCTTCCATATTATGAGGGAGGGAGAAGCAATTTCAAGTGGGGAAAAGATCCTTGTAATGCTTGTACATAAACTGAATTTCCCTGCACCAGAAGTTTTCTAGTGCATGGGAAAGTCTTGATGTCTTGATCTGTTTGATGTTACGTTTCTTCCTTAAATTTAATCAGCTCCTTTCTCAAATTAAACCTTTTCTGTCTAGCGTATGATTACATTACACAATTTTTGGTTAATCTTTTAGCTTTAAGTGACGTGTCCGAGTAAGCCCTGGATTTTCACAATTCTATTTCTTGTTTTCAAAAATATCGTGCGAGTTGCAGTTCTCATTTTGGTAATCTGGTGGTTCAGCCTGCAGGTAAATAACTTAGGGTAGGATGTTTTTATAATTCTGTACAATACTATGTTGTACGTTGTTAATTTTTATTTAGCATCAATGTATTATTTTCATGTAATTTTTCATTTGGTTTCTTTTGTTGCTAAAGTTGGGGGCGGAACCAGAATGGGCAGCTTGGTCTTGGGACCACTGAGGATTCTCTTATACCACAAAAGATTCAAGCATTTGAGGTACAATTAGCTACTATCCTTCCTGGCTTATTAATTTGGTATCTAGAACTTTGAATACAAATCATCATAAATTAATAGGGGCAGTTGTGAAAGAATTACTTTGAGATGCCTGTAAGCGGTAACAGTAATTTTTAGAACAGTTTGATAGGGTATGCTGGGAGAATGCTCTATGGGAATGTAACCGACAGCTTGTTCTACTCTATCTATATTGATTGTTTAATTGGATAATGTATACAATCTGCCCCCAGTGTTGATCCAAAGTTAAGTTGTAAAGTAAAACCTACATGTTAAATCTTAGGTGTTTTACATTTTTATCTTTGCTTTCAGTTCCAAATGTTTATTAGAGTGTAACCTTGTTTTCAATTTGCTGGCAACTGTTGGATGCAACACTAGAACTAATTTACAACTTACAAGCCTCTCCTATGCTGATTATCTTTTCATCGGATTATCCCTCATTTCTCTTAAATTATACAACCTGTTATGGTTTGTAGTTTTTTGGAGGGTATTTTCTTTTTATTTTTCTATTTTTTTGCTTCAAAAAATGGGCATTAAGCATGATATGTTGGGTGATTATTTCAGGGAATTCCTGTGAAAATGATCGCTGCGGGTGCTGAACATACTGCTGCGGTTACAGAAGATGGCGACCTATATGGATGGGGCTGGGGCCAGTATGGTAATTTGGGCCTAGGTGACCGAAATGACCGTCTAATCCCAGAAAAGGTTCTTCAGACAAATGTATGTCCACATTTCCTGTATTTTTCTGGAAGTATTGTAATCTAATTTGTTAGCTTAAATTTCTATAAGCTCATGCTTCGTTGGAACTTTAGTCTTTAGATTTATATAAGTGGTTTTATGCTAATTGTGCTTTCTTATTGCAAATATTAAATGTTTATGATTTTTGCTTGCACACATACCCTTTTTCAGGGGCAAAAGATGGTATCCATAGCATGTGGGTGGCGTCATACAATAACTGTTTCCTCCTCTGGTACCTTATACACTTATGGATGGTGCAAATATGGTCAACTAGGGCATGGAGACTTCAAAGATCATCTCATTCCTCATCTGGTGGAAGTGTTAAAAGATAGATGCATATCTCAGGTATGGCTGATGTTCTAACTTTGATTTGTTTGTTCTTCACGAACAGTTAGATGTTAATTGAATGTTATTATTGGAGTTTGTAAGCTGTACTTTTATCCAGTGAAGCTCATTTATGACTAGTACAATTTTTTGTAAACATGAATTTTATAATAACAATTGCAAGGGAAGTAATATTCTAGGAAGGAAAACTACTGTTATTAGGATAATCAAGCTTTTTTCTACAAGGCATTCTTAGATTTGGGTTTTGCATGATTTCTCCCTTTCACATTAGCTTATTTTATAAACCTCCTGGAAATTTTGATTTCAATAGCTACATGCTTTGCTTTTGGCAAGATAACTCTCTTTACTAAAATTTGTTGTGAAATTCATCACTGAATCTGTTCAGTTTCGAATCAAATCACTCAAATACCTTTTTTATACATAATACTTGCCTTTGACCTTTTGTGGCAATACCGATTTAGAATTGAAATAACTTAACCATAAAATAGTCATGGGGAAAACAATTCTGCTATCATCTTTATGTATTTTCAATTTTCTTATTTTAAGAATTACCTTCTGGTTCCTCTATATGTAGAGTTTAGACCTCTCTAAGTTTTAGTTCATATATAACCACAATACTGCACAAGTTTGTGCTAATTATCACAACTGCATAATACAAGGCTGTCTCAATTTTGTTTACACCCAAAAGCATATCCAAAGTAACTGCAAGAACTAAATGGTTCAGTAAACCAATTTCCTATCTATATTTATTGGTAGTTAGAAATCGGTTAAATAGTGTTTCTAAATCACCGGTTCCCCCGTACAAGACTAGTTTCTTTCTTCTGAAGAAACAGTTTGTCTAGTAATTATCAGATCTCTACAGATGCTGAGAATATGCAGAAAATTGATAAGCCACTAGTGTATGCTAAAGTTCAACTAGAACTATTGTCTGCAACCTACCTTCACCTTTTATTTACATTAAAAAAAAACCTGATGCTGATTAGAAGAAAACTACTATAGTTGTCAGTCAGCTTCACCGTGTTAATAGTTTGTGGCTACATATCCTGATAATATTACTTGAGTGATTAATTTTTGATATTAGCTTTGCATCTACTTTAACGTATTATATATTTATTAGAGATCTATGATTTTCTTTTTTTTTTCATGTCTCATTTGATATTTAGTCTGCAAGTTTTCAAGCAATTTACGTGTACTATACATGGACATACTATTAAGAACTTACCTATGCTTGTCTGGTTTCAGATATCGGGTGGTTGGAGGCACACTATGGCTCTCACATCAGATGGACAGCTTTATGGCTGGGGTTGGAACAAGGTTTGGCTCTTGTATATGAATCTATAATTCACGTCCCTATGTGACAATTTTGTGCCATAGGTTGGGTAGTCCATAAGTCTTTCTTTGTTCCATTAAAGCTAATATCTACAAACCTATTTTTAGCTTCTTCAAAAAAATAAATAAAAATAAAACAAAATAAAATGTTAAAAAAAGGGAAATGAGAGTAAGAAGGAATACACAGTCAAATGAAGAATTGGTTATGTTGAAATGATGATGGCTTGTGAGTTGTGAGCTCGTGCCCTGTGTTAACGCTAAATAAACACATGACTCGACAGAATAAAAATTCATAAAACAAGGGGCACGAAAAAGAAATACTATGCCAATAAAGAATATAGTTTTATAATAAAATTTGTAAAGTGCTTTATCAGGGAAGCATTCAATTGCTTGCTTAAATCTTTCTTTACATATTTTTTGTTTCTTCTTGTTTTTCACAAGTAATACCACTAATGAAATTTCTGTAGTTTTTCTTCAAATACATGAGCGACGATGGCTACATTTGTAGTTCTTGGGACCATACTTATAAATTGATTAGATTGCATAAGTACCTCTCAAGCATTAAAGCTTATTGATTCTTAGATATTTAAACACCCCTCTCTTTTACATGATCTGCATTGCACGAACATTCACCAAACTTTGAGAGTGACATTGGTACTCATAACTTCTTGAGATGGATGAGAGATGAGAAGAAAAACAAGGGGATTGACAGCTCAAGTGCTGTTGATTGTTACACATATCAGAACAATAGTTGAATTTTCTATTATTCAATATAAAAGCAATAAACATACACTTATGTGGTGCCTGCTGGTATGATGCATTTTTATAGTTTTATTTGGTTGACTGCACATCAATTATACCTATTTGACTGTTTGTTGATACTCGTGTTTCTATTATGCTGGACAGTTTGGACAAGTTGGTGTCGGTGATAATATTGATCATTGCTCTCCGCAGCAGGTTAAATTTCCAGACGAACAGGTATTTTGTTACTCCTTAGAACTTTGAAACGATTAAAATAACATAGGCTGTAGTCTCAATTATAGCAAATAGTAATTGCAACAATAGCATGGAATTCAATCCCATCTGTATAAACACTGAAGAAGGGTACAGACAAATTTACTCAGTATTCTGAGATGTAGTTTGTTAGTTGCACATGATACAGAAAGAAATAGGCTTTTATTTTTCGTTTCAGCTTTCCCTGACACAGTTTTTTTGGCAATGTACAGAAAGTTGTCCAAATCTCTTGCGGGTGGCGGCACACTCTTGCTGTGTCAGAACGAAAAAATGTGTTCTCTTGGGGGAGGGGTACAAGTGGACAGCTTGGACATGGAGATATTTTAGATCGGTATTGCATCTGTCACAGAAAATCTTTAAATAAGGATCTACAGTCAATAAATTATTTACTATTGTTTGAGCCTCCCAATTTTCCCTCATGGTTTATAGCTAGTTTGGACTTAATGTAGACTTGATTCTGATGCTGTGCAATTACTTTGTCCAACAATAGATCGTCATCAATGTTTGTAGTTTATAAACTAGAACCAAATATTCACTGGATGGCCTTTTAACTTAGAATACTTTCACCAATTTTTTCTCACGAGTTGTATTTCTTATCGATGCATTGTAGAAGGAATGAGTAGTTTCCCAACTATAAAATTTGCAGTCCTCTCTCTCACACTTAAATGATGCAAAGGTCACTTATACCACTTGTTAATCTATGATATTCCTTAAGAGCTTAAAATTTTCTGTGTAACACCTTCAGTTATTCCTAAACTTTACTCAATAAGCAAGTCCACAGCCTATTTTCCCCTCCTTGCATGAAGGGGAAAAGCTTAAGCTATGCCTATGATCAATACACAGGCAATTTTAGGGGAAAAAGGTTTGGTTCACGATGACGATGCACTAATGATGGGATATACTGTAGGAACTTGACTGAAAAATAGCTAAACATACTAAAGGTGAAAAAGCTGAGTTTGAGCAGTAAAATCAGTGATCACTAAGGTAAATAAGATTTAAGAATATCTTTAGAAGCTTACTGGTTTCTTTAACATGTGATAGGCAACCTAGGATAATTAGTATTGGCGGCATAAGGAGTTCTGAATTGAATAAACTTGTTACTTTATTAAATCAAATTACTAAAGGAAACTTTTTGTTAGTCTGGATCCAGTAACAAAGATCTTAGCGCAACTCCTACTACGTTTGATGAATGGCAAGATCCTTGGTGTTAAGGGAATACAAAGCTATTGTGTAGGTTTTGTGTATTATGTAACTTTTACTGCTGAAGCTGGAAAATTGAAATCCATGCCCCTAGCTAAATTAGATGGATATGAATATCGCTTAAAAGAAAAAAAAAATCTAGTGAATATTGTTGCATCAACAGTTCTCTTCTTTATCATTTGTTTAGGGAGGAAGATTTAACTAACATTATACTTGGTTTTCCTGAATCTGAAGTAACACCCCAAAGCTTATTGAAATTTTGAGCACTGATGGTTCCGGTTGTAAGGAGATAGAATCTTCAGAATCTATAACAGGTTTGTTTGGTGATTTTCATTCCCTTCACTTTGGTTTAAGAGAAACTTGAGTATATTCTGCTGTCAGAATTGTTCACACTCCTTTCATCTGACAGGCAAAACCCGGGTTTCACCATCCGAAAGATATGCTATTGTTCCAGATGAAATTGTAAGTCTAGCAAATCTTTTATTTTATCATCATATATTTTTATCCATTTCTAAAGTTAAGATCTTTCAACTTTTGAACTTAAATTTCTTTAGAGCCATTTTCTTATCAAATTGGAAATGCGTTTCTATTTGACTCCCTCGTCTAGTATATCTAAATTTATATTTCTCTCAGAAATTTGAATTTTGTTGCTATTCGAGTATGAAATAACCTGAGTTGGTATATGATTAATGAAACAGTTGGTTTTGTTAAAAGAGGGTGTATGAACATCATTATATACACATGACATTTATAATTGTTGAACTTGAGTGGATCTTTGTATTGTGTCTTGGTGTACCAGACATTTATTTTGGGGTTAATTGCAGATAGAGCTTTAGTATCACTGTTTTGAACTTACTATCCTTATTGTTCCACGTAGACCCCCTATGTGATTTTTGTGACTCTTTAACCCTCATCGGGTCTATTTGTCAAATTTCTCTTTCTCTAAGCGTAAAGCAGTTAAAAATATATATATATATACACCCAGGGTATCTGTCTTCAACAATAAAACTAGACGGTAGTAAGTTCAGAACAGCGGTACTGCAGGGGGTTTATCTACAGTTGACCTATTATCTTTCGTCGAGGGAAATATCCTGTGCGTAAAAAATATGACAAGTTTAGCTTCTCTATCGAAATCTATATGAAAATTACATTATGTAATGTAAATTGAGATATCCTTGCAGGTTACAAAGCGAGTATCTGACCCTGTCAGCGGCAATGGAGGCGATGTAAATGTACCAGATAAGGATGTTAAGCGAATAAGAGTCTAAGGCAGTTTGGCGATGTAAATGTACCAGATAAGGATGTTAAGCGAATAAGAGTCTTAAGGCAGTTTCCTGTTCGTATGTTCTACATTTTATGTATGTCATCTTAGCTTCTATAAAGATTGTTGCAGTATCTCCAATGTTTGGACATCTCAATCTTCTCGAAATTTAGTTTCTTCGTTGAGTATGTTCTTTAGGAAAAGCCTGAACCTGTGATTTATCGATAACGAAGATTCTTTGAAGAGTCTTTTAACACGTATTCTTCATATACTATCCAAAATGAACACATTACTGTCTAAAATAATCATTAATGAAACCTTATAAAGAAAAGAGAAATATGGGTGTCATTGGTACCAAGGACCAAATTTGATTCTTACTGGTGAGGTGGTCACTTCTTATCTACTCATAATTATTTAGATTGCTTTGTAAATCAAGAATCAAAACCATCTATTGTTTGAAGGTTCTAGCATGTATAGGCTAATCTGACCCTAATTACTTTTACTTGGTCTAAATCATAATCATGGTCTCTTGATGTTCATATTTAGGGTTAATTGTAGATAGACGCCTTGTACTATTGCCCAATTATGGATAGACCCTCTGCGGTTCTATTGGCACGGACAGACCCCTTGTTCTATTTCCAAAGTGCAGATAGACCTTTGAGGTCCTGACTAAGTTTTTTTGACTCTACTTCAAGAGTAAAAAAGGATTCACTCAGGGAGTCTATCTACACCAATAGAACTAAAGGGCTCTACCTGCAATTGGACTACAATACAAGGGGTCTATCCGCATATATTTAGCTCATCTCTCTTTCCAGAAACTATGTATTAATCCAAACAAAAATATGTAATATGGTCATCCATTGTTCTCACTATAGGTGCATACATTTCGGATATGACTTATATATGATACTTATCATATCAGTATTTGCTTGTCATTCAATGGATAGAGGTACGGATAGCCTTCAAAAGAAAAACTCATATTCATATCCACTGAAATTGAATAGAGATATGAATATAAATGCGGAGATATATGTGGATGTACATGTGGATACTAAAGGGATACGAGAAAGCCAAATAATATATAAAAAAATATAGTTCATGCGATACAAAATAGTTCATTAACATGTTCGTTATATCTGAAAAGCTAAGAGTGGATCTTTTGATCATCAAAATTAGTCTCAAATCTATTAACCTAAGGACTAAAACAATTCCAATTGTATGATCAACACATTTTCGGATATTTCAGATACGGATCTAGACATTTCACCACATAATCATATCCATAACCATAAACGGTTGGTTATAGGTTTTAGTAATCATATTCACAATGTCTTAAAAAGCCTTCGCCTAGCCCGTGTAGGCGTACTGCTAGGCCTCAGTGGTAGCTTGGCCACCTACCTAGCGCCTAAGCAGTATCTAGGCTGCCCACCTAGATTCTGGGAGCGCCTAGAGGAGCGTGGTTTGTCTATATGGATTGCACGCTTTATGTATTGATTGTGATTTCCTCCATTGTAGTATCCACTTCCTCCAACTATGAACGCTTTCTCTATCTCTTCTGACCTTTAGCAAAACTTTCAACACCATCACTTAAGAAATCTACTTGGATGTCAACCTAGCGCTTAAACTTTCCATAACATTGACATTGACCATCAGAAATTATAAATAAAAGGGGTTTTTGCTTTTAGACCCATTTGTTTACTCCCATTTATTTTTAAACCCAAGTACTATTATTTGTATCTTTAAGCCCAATTCACCTTTTGTATTTATCTTTAAACCCAAAACCACTTATTTTTATATTTTGAAGATTGGGTTTAAAAATAAATACAAAATGTGAATTGGGCTTAAAGATACAAATAATAGTACATGGGTTTAAAAATAAATGGGAGTAAACAAATGGGTCTAAAAGCAAAAACCCCTAAATAAAAACTAAAAATAGTAAAACGCCTAGGCCCCTGCCTAGGCTCTAGGCGTCGGGACCAACGCCGGGCCGTTTCTACAACCTTACGTATTCGCATCCTAACGGTGTACGTAGTTACGGATGTATCCGTGGATGCGGATATTTTTGTGCACCCCTGGTTCTCACCCAAGATCAAGAATATTGTAGATTGTCCAACTTGGTGGGCAGAATCTCCAGTTTTCGGTACCTTATAATACTTTTTAAACAAACGGCCTAATTCATCATCTACCTCTGCTTTATGTCGATAAAGTAGGAAAGCAGCTAAGAAATCAAAACGTTTGACTCCCAAAAGCGATATTAACCGAAGTGATGCCTCTCAATGAGCTACCGAGCCCTACGTACCTTGGCTATTTTAGACTC